CCCCTCCGGATGCATAATTACAGCCACCTGTATGCATATCCCCGTGCATTCAGACAGCGCACTCATGTGTGTGCCCTTTCTCCAATCTAGCAAGTACTAGTCTTGTCTGCCTAACACCTTTTACAAATGCCCTAAATTCAATCCATCTCAACCTCAATTCATCCGCCAGTCTCGTCCACGTCAATCTCTTTTACCATTATTCTTAGGCATCTGCGTTCTGGGCCCTAATAAATTATCCCTCCGTTGGTCTTATTCGAAAAATATTTTCCTACCATTGGTTTGCCCTCTTATTCAATTAAGGCTAATTTGCTTCATGTTGTCTAGGCTACTTTGTTGATTCGCATAAGTAGCTACATGCTGATTACCTCAATGCATTATATCGTTGTTTCAACAGGCCTTTTAAGTAATCGCACTGTCTAGATCGAAACCGACTTGGGCGGACCATCCTTTTACGTCAGCCTTCTACCTGCCTATATTTAGTCGCATGACCAGTGCACTCGATGTTTTAAATGACAATCAATTATACTTCTAATGTAAGTAGTAATAATAATTTGTTAACGTTCCACAATATCTTTCTGTCGCTCCGACAAAGTTGCGAAAACAAGGTCAAACCAACCTTATACAGCTAAAGAAGACTACGACCAAACAAAAGGTCAGACCATCTTGGCCTTTGTAGCTACGATATAATTTTAAAATTCATAAGACAAGAAAATGATATCATTTATTTGATGTCACCATTTTAAATACGTTTGTCGGTCGATGTAACTTGATTCTAGGGCTAATAGGACTTTCAGTACTACTGACCAGAGTAACTTGTGGTCAAAACTTTGACCAAACAACTTGCAATTGCATTATAATCTTTTTATCTGCTAGGAATAACCTTTGCTTGTATTGCTTTATACTAATAAAATGACTTTCTGATTCACGAAACACGTAAACTTGTATTTTGTCCATAACCAAACTAGGCCTAACAGATACTTATCCTAACACTTGCCTTATCAAATAGGATCCCTTTATTCTCTCTTCTCAAAGAAACTTCCCTCAGTAGGTTTTGTGCTCAGTAGAGTGATATTCTCCATTTTCTTTCTTCCGCTACTCCACATCCCTTTGAATAAAGGTGCATGCATGAGTTTGTCTGCTTCAACACTCATTTGAATCGCATCACCGTATCGCCTCCAATTAAGGCCGCGCCTTGGAAGGATTTATTTGTCTATATGCTGCAGAGATTTATTACGTTGTTAAAACGAAGGGTAGTCAACACTCGATTATCAATTAAGTAAAGCATGAGCCAAATTCTTTCTTGAAAATGAAGTCAAGAACGAACCAGCCAAATCCCTATATACCATATTTTGGACTTATTTCAAGTGGCATGCTAAACAAAGGCCCAGTTTATTTTCACCCGAACCAAGGGAGGGTGTTTTGAGAACTGTATCAAAATTGACTTCCAAATAAATTTAACCGACTGTTGACAAACAGGAATACACCATGAGGTTCTGGTGATAATGACCTAAAATCCTCTTTTTCATATACCCTCACGAAAGGAATTTCAGCTTAATGACTGCCACTCGGATGGCAGGAGATTGGGCTTCTATTATGGAATTCAACTTTCTAACAAGACCTAGTCACCGAAATCTCATTGGGCAAGATATTTTAGAACATCTCTTTCAGTCTCAACTATCTTGCTCACTTTTGACTGCTGCCTCTCAGCACGAGCTGGAATCAATTTGCAAATCGCACAAGCCAGGTCTTCTGTTATAATTGAGGGCTTTAGTTACTTAGTAGATTACAGAAAAATTGTTTTTTACTTTTTAAATGGTGATATATATTTTCATCATTTATATCTTTTTTTTACTTTACTAGCCTTGGTTAGACAACAAGCACACGGTATTCGGTCGCGTCATCAAAGGTATGGAAGTTGTTCAGAAGATCTCCAACATCAAAACCAATGCCAAGAACGACAAGCCTATGGAGGACGTCAACATAATCAGCATCAGTATCAAAGACTTGGGTGCAGGGGTTTAGCGGTGACGGTTGTGTTCATTTTGCTCGTGTTGTATGTGCTGTGTTTTTTTATTTCGCTTAGCCAGAACCATGTTTGTCTAAGCGATGTCTAGTCAGATTAAAGGTAAGCAATTAGTTAGAAATTGGGAGAACTAAAGTCAGTATCTGAACTCAGCGGAAAACAAAGTAACGCATCCAACACCTAAAGTATAACATAGAGTATGCAGAAGTCGATGCATTAAGGGAGTATGGAGAATGCTCCAGCAAAAATTAGAATGCTAAGCGTTGTTTACCTTTGAATCCTTTCTTGTAAAATAGTCGAACAAAAGCCCATGTGAATGATGATTTTCATGTTTTCTTGTGTGTATATTCATTGGATTGCGATTATCTCAAAACTTAAGCTATTCGAAAAAACCGGTCTTCTCAGTTTCCCTAACTTAATCTTTGCGTGGCGGTATGCAGAATTTTCGTTGGATAATAGAGTGCTCGATCTATTCAGTTTACTTAAGGCTATATGGGCATTTATGTAATTATATTTCCCTACCCAAACGCTAAATTATGTTAAGCAGCACAGGCACAAATATTTTGTAAATGGTACCTCTAATATTTGTCCAGGTTGACAGATTTTATTGACTAAATGAACACAGAAAAAGAGTTCATTATTAGGAAGCATGTGAAGAACGCTGGACTAACTTCTTTTGTAGTCCTAAGCGTTGGCTTCTTCATTAGACTAGCAATGTCCATCTATTCAGCTGTCATTTGCTTCTTGAAATGTTATTTGCCTATTTGGGTTAGTTCGTGTCTCGAGCAGACAATCAGAGAACTCATCAACACTGGTCTCGTGAGACATTAGTGACTCAGGTTCATCTATGTTATCCAGGAGGTATCAAAATGGCATTCGTTGCCGATGTTGCTTAATACTATTTGAGATATTTGACTTTGGCCTGAGTGGATTATGTCAATTTCACCTTTATTTAATTAGGTATTTGTAAGATACTTGGCAGTAAGCTTAGATTCTTTATCACCGTTATCAGAGGTATGTATTCATAACTTTTTCGATTTCACACGATATTGTTCACAAACTGTACGGCTTGCCTCGAATAGAGTTATTACCTCGATGCGGTCTTAATTGCATTTCTACTTTTGGAAAGTCTTTCGCACCTTATTTTCTCAATATTACAATTAAGCATATAATAATCATCTTAGTCACATGATATGTAGTACGGGGAAGCTATTATCGAGGTCCTATTTTTATTCGAGGTAAGCGACATAGGTTATGATCAATCTAGTGTGAAGCCAAAAAAATTGTGACTTCGGTGATAGCGGTGAAAATGGATAT